TTTTTTTCTGTAGTTAAGGCAAAGCTAATATCTGTTAATATCTTAAAAATGAGTGTGACAGGGTGTGGGTTGTGGCTCAGCTGCAGGGAAGGCGAGGAGCAGTGGGCTCAGAGTGTGGTGCCAGGGGAGCCTGACCCACGCAGCTGACCTCCATCATGTCTCCCCCATTCGAGTAGGTCGCTGTGTGTGGCGTGCAGCAGGAGGAGGCAGTTTGAAAACTAAATGATCAATGTTCGTACTGTAAAGACAACATTTGTGGCTAAAATGTAAGCCCTCATATTGCGTCAGTACATTATTTTTTTCTTGCAAATACAGAAACCGCAAAATACCAACAGCTCCCAGTGTGATTAAGGTCAGGGTGATGTGCCAGTTTTTGTTTTCTTGTAGCAGCAGTGGAGATAAGTACTATATTTGCATATCTTAAGGCCTTAAATCTCTTTACTTGTTCAATGAAAATGCTTAATTTAAAAGTCAAAATACTGATAACTCATTAGCTACTAAACACTGAATGATGAGAATGAAGATTATAAGTAATCTCTTGTCTTTCATTTGTCTCCTGGTAATAATCTGCCGAGGTTAGAAGAATAAAGCCATTGAAATGCAGACGTTTGTAAACCAGCTGCTTAAAATTCTGAGTTGAATTAATTGGGCCTGGAAAAAAAATAGATGTCCCAGAGGATTTGAGGTTTTGCTTTCAGAATCAGCTTAACAACAACAACAACAACAACAAAATATCAAATATACAACTATAACTAAGTTGTACTTAGGCACAACTTAGTTATAGTTGTGCCTAAATACTACTTTAAACACTACTTTAAACACCAATCAAGCTCAGTTTTTTGTATTTGGAAAGATGTATTATTAGCTTATTACTTGCTTTGAAATACATGAACTTCATTGCATCTTCCAAATTGCAAAGTAAATTACTTGTTTTGATTTCTAAAGAATGATAGCACAGACGCATTTTCAAGGACAAAGGAGCTTGTTTATGGTTTTAATTGATTAAATACACATTTAGCATTTGTATTGTTATTTTTTTTAGCTTGCTGAACAGACTGATGAGGTCTGAACGTTGATTTAAGCAGTTTCTGTAATATCAGAATTTTCAAATCATTAAGCGCGTCCCCTCTAGGCCTGTGTTTAAATTGTGCACTTAATCACTGTATCGCTATATGTCGGCCAATCCTAGAGATTTTTCTTTCTGTGTGGCTGTGGTTCATAAACTGGGAGGGTGTGTGAACCACAAATATGAACTGAGAGTAACTTGAATGAAGATGATTTATGTAGGGGGAAATGCCTTATTATTTCACCAAGCCTTCAACTTAGTTTCGTTGCTTACCTTATGACGGTTATATGTACATTTATATACATATAACCATGATAGGGTCATGTTTTGAATTGAAGACTTTTTTAGCTTCTTGGTTTGAGAACAACTGCTCAAGCCATTTTCAGCTGCTTACTTGTTCAAAGAGCTCACTACAGCAGATTGTTCCCTATTTGGCACATTTTGATGTTTGATGCAAACAAAGGATTTGTGTCCTCTTGAAATCAGGACTAAGAGTCTTTCGCTTGTTGGGTCTTCCTTGATGTCATGATCTTCGTTCAGCATCTGACAGCAGACTCATCTCTATCCAACTCATCTAGATGTCGTTGGGGACAGCACCATCACTCACCTTTTCTCACTCAATATGTGATTATACACCACTTTGCATTTAATTTAGCTGTTATTAATCTCTGGCGCTCTTCCATAACATGTCTTTTGTTCTGTCTCCCTGCCCTCACCCCCTACCAGTCACAGGGAGGGGGGGGGGAGTGCTTGCTCATAGCCGGTCATCCGATTGTTGAGGTTTTCTCTGTATTGTTGTAGGGTCTTTGTAGGGTCTTTATCTTTATTTATAAGTGCCTTGAGATGACTGTTGTCATGATTTGGTGCTTTATAAATAAAACTGAATTGAATTGGCTAATGTAAACTTCTACATTACATTTTACATACTCCAGGCTTCACTGCTTACATCAGCCTGACTGAGACTTTTTTTTTGGCTTTCGCAGCACAAAATGCTAACCATTGCATCCATGTCAGTTTAAACTGATTGATAAATAACACTACAGAATGATCTGAGTCACCCTGTAAGCCTTAGTATCATTAGGAGTGGTCTGTGAACTGAGGTGTATCCAGTAATTCTCATTAATTTCTGAAGCTGATATTTCAGCTTCATCATAGCCACAGTAATGTGTGTGTGTCTGCTGTTGGTCTGCCCACTGTGCTTCCTGTCCCAGAGTATGTAAATGTTAAAGTTTTTGACAATATAATAAGGAGGATGAAACATTGACTTTTTTGCAGCTGACAAACAGAGTGGCCTTTATTGTGCAAACAAACAACTCGTGACCTTTTCTCTGAGCTCGCTTCACTTGTGTTCATTTGTATGCTGTGTTTGTCATCTGTATGTCTGTGTGTGCTTGGAGGTTGCTGCCCAAGTGCTAAGCATTTTCCTAGTATGCATGTGTATATCTATTATATGTGTTTTTGTCTAATCCAATAAAGACATGATCAGAAAATACTCAGAAAGATCAGCTAGAGATTACTGAAGAGGATGACCAAGGGCAAAGATTTGTTTAACACCACTGTGTACTACATGTGACAAGTCATTTTGTTGTTGTGTGTCAGTGTGAAAGATTTTAATATCTATTTATATTTCCCTTCTGCAGATTATCATCAAAGCTTTAAAGACATTGAGAGACAGCGGGAGCGTTGGGAGCGCAGGCAGCAGAGAAGGAGGAGAAGAATTCGTCAACGCTCTGTCAGCAAAGAGAAATGGGTGGAAACGCTGGTGGTGGCTGACCCCAAAATGGTGGACTATCATGGGAGCAAAGCTGTGGAAAGCTACATACTTGCTGTCATGAATATTGTAAGTATTCAATATTAATAGTACTATTACGTTACAAGTCAGTCACTATTATCAGGTGACTGACTTGGCTATTGGATAATAGACCATTCACTTGCCTTGAGAGGCTCTTGGTGGGAGTGAGAAGGAGGATCCAACCGCGGACACGGAAGGAAACCAAACTGGGTTTAAACAAAAAGCGAGGCGTTTATTACAGCAGGTTAGACATGACTACAAAAATAAAGCAAAAGGCGAACAGCAGGGTTGAAAACTAAACTAAAAACTAAACTGTGGTAACTATGAACAGGCATGAACATGATTCTGACCAGGAATGTGCAAGAAACTATGATGAAGAAACAAGAACATGAAACATGAACACAACCTGAGCAGAATCATGAAGTACATGGAACTTGATGTGATGTGGAGGGAAGGAAAACAGACGACCTGACAAAGACTGAATGAAAACACACAGACTAAATACACACAGGAGGTGATCAGGGGAAGTGGAAACACATGGGGAAACAGCTGACCGGAATAAACATAATGACGCCACAGGGGAAGAAAAACTAAACACATTAAACACGGACACACCAGACTTTTCAAAATAAAACATGGACAGGTGTAGACATGAAAACACCAGCCGGACAATTAGAACACGCAGAGACAAACACACAGACATAACTGAAAGTAAAACACTGAGAAAAGACTCATAACTAGGGAGACATAGAAGAACCTAAACTAGACTTAAAACTCAAGGCAAACTGATAATAATACTAGAACTTAACATCCTTTCAATCCCCCCTCTACCCATAAGAAATCACAAATACAAACATAAGAAATCACAAATACAAACATAAGAAATCACAAATACAAAAATAAACTCAAAATCTGTGTCACAGACAGTCCCTGACTCTTGGGTATCTTTGGCAGCTTACTTCTATGTCATTATCCATTTCCACTGTAAAGCAACACCTCATCATATTTGGCTGAATCTAAAAAAAAGAAACTCTTGCCTCTAAATAATTCATCCTGCTTCTTCCTTCAGCAGTCACGTCATCAATAAAAACTATTGACTCTGTTTCACTGGTTCCATTGATTGTAGGCTTTGCTAATGATACACCTTTCTCTTTGAGAGTGTTCCTGCCTTGGCTAGACGTTGTGAAGGGATTTTCTTAATCAGAGACTGAAGTATTCGATCATGTGGTCTTTCAGGTCTTTTGGTGTTGCTGAGCTGGTTGACACGTTCACTCCTTTTTTCCTCAAAAGATTTCTCACTCTAATACAGTTACTTTGTCTTCTTCACTTGTGTTTACATCTTTTTGGACCTCCTATGGAGAGTTCCAGTGATAAGTTACCAAATACTAGGACTGGGCAATATGACCCAAAATTCATATCTCGATATTCTTTGGCTGAATCGTGCAGTCAAAATGTAAACTAAAAGACGCTGAGCATAGTAACAAAGACAGATTTCGCAGCTGCTCTGTTCTCAAGTTCTACTGCATGACTGACAGCCTTAAGTTTGAAATCCGCTTCGTAACTTTGTCTCTTAACAGGTGCAATTTGTGGTCCTTATAATATTACACAGTACGGTAATATTACGTTGAAGCACAGTACGTATCACTCCGCAAGGCTTCTGACTACCGTAGCCGTAATGCTCTGACAATCCATCAAGCGGTGCAGCTTTGTAGCTTACAAAACTCGTCCTAAAACATTTTTTGACAAATTGCTGAGCGGCGTGTACCACATAAAATCGGTTCGCGGTCAGTTAGCAAAACCAGAATTCATACAAAAGGCGCACTGTCGATTTTTGAGAAACTGAAAGGATTTTAGGTCGTGCAGCCCCCGTAAGTGAAGCTGCATGGCGCCAACGCGTTAGCGCGGTTAGCTCATTAACGCGTTGAAGCCGTCCAGCCCCACGAACGGGGCGATCTGCGGTAACTCGTTAACAGAGATTTGCCGCGTTAATGTAGTTATGGCGTTAACATCATTTTAATTAAATTAACGCTACCAGCACTAAAATAGTAATCTCCAAATGTTTTCTTTTTACTGACCAGATCCTCTTTGATAGCTGCCTTTTCCATCTTGTCGTTGCCTGCAAGCGATGGGGGAGGGGGAGTTGTGTTCAGTGAAGGAGAGGCGAGGCAGAGTAACATTGCGTAGAGACAAAAGTGGACAAAAGAGAGGCAAACTTGCGGCTCCGCAAGTATAATTATAATGTAACATATACTGTATCAATATAAA